CTCCAGAGTAATATATCATATGGTCATCCGACTCAAAATGCCCCATGCCAGTCCATCTCATCTCACCAATGCCTAGTATGTCAATATTTATGCATTCCATTTCTTCCTTAACAATATCTAATTAACAATATCTAATATTACTCTGGAGATGAAAGGTGGTATTAGATTCTTCCATTTTTCTCCCTAAGCCCTTGATGATTCCTAGATGTGCTTTCATGCTCTTCTGTTATGCTGCTTTTGATGGGCCATCATTTGTCTTTGTACCCCACTGCAAGAACCTTCTGTAGCCACTCATAATAGGCATGCAAGTGTAAATGAAGTCTTTCTTGTGATTGATTTTAAAGTAGAAGTTTGGGGTTCTGCCTCTTCATAGGGATGGGGTGGATGGCAGTTAGGGAAAGACTTTGGTTTTTTCCCCTTCTGAGGCCACTTCTGCACTTTTCCCCACTGCTGAATCTGGAGTCCCTCAAAACCAAGCATTGTTTTCCTTTATTTGTGGGGGACAATAAGAACAGCATTTGTTTCTCTCATCTTCCAAGACTATCCCAGTTTGATTCTGATGAACTTCATGGTTTTGGGCTCTACTCCTAGGTCTCTGATCCACCCTGAGTTGATTTTTGTCCAAACCTATTTTTTAAATGATTTTTAAATTCAGATGGGAAAGACTCGAGATCCTATTTTGGTTGTTTTCATTTCCTTCAACTTGTATTTGAACTTGCACATGAGTAATTGGTGGTCTCTTCCACAGTCAGCACCTGGCTTTGGTTTTGACTGCTTGTCCACTGATTCTTTCTACAGATGTAGTCAGATTCCTGTGCAGTCCATCAGGTGAGTTCCATGTGTATAGTTGGTGTGTTTCTTCCCTCCTCACCCCCTTTTTGTTGTGTACTGTCAAATTAGATCTGAGTGGCACAGGAGGAGATTGCCCCTCTTTCTCCATCAGAGCATCTGGTTGATTCAAACTGTGCACCTTCAAGATTGCAGTGTAGCTTCTTGCCACTAGGCCACCAGAGCTCCCTAGTTACTGTGTTTCTTTCTTTTTATTTTTTATTAAAC